CTGCGCTCACCCAGGTGAGTGCTAGAGAGTGTGTTTAGACATGCAGACCTATATTTTTGCATGCTGTGGGAGGGAACGTAACACTGACATAAGCCCCATTAGTTTTTATTTCACCCAACTGAGAAACTGGAGGGACACCTTCCTGGCAGCATTTGGTACACCATGAGAGAGGATTCCAAACCAGGGTCACTCCACAGTTGTTTTAAGGAGTCTGGGTTTTGGCTGGGTCACTCAATGACAGTCAGACTTGTCCTGAAGCCACTACAGCGTTGTCTTGACTGTATAGTATGTTTCGCATCATTGTTGTGCAGAAAGATAACCTGTCATTTCAGTCTCAGGTCACATGCACTCCGGAGCAGTCCATCACAGAGCCCTTTTTTTTTTTTATTTACACTATTTTAAGTCAAATTCTAAATGCATCTCAAGGACAGTTAAAGCAAACAGGATGCACCCAATCTTGGCTGCTCTGTTGTGGTTTTATTTATTTATTTTATTACAGCAGGTGAAACCTATTATGAGAACAATAACAAGGAACTACTTCCACCAATAAGTGTAATATTTTAGAGGCATGAAGTAGTTAGACACTTTATTCCATATCCTGAAGGGGGTGGTTGTGGGGTCTGATTAACTTAAATCTATGCCTTTTAATTTTACAATTTGGAGGATGTTTTTGCACCTGCTCCCCAAGAGTTGTCTAGTTTGTGAATCAAAGTGTTGTTAATCATGAATGTTCAGCCACACTCTACATATCCTATATTGATCTTCCATTTTTGACCAATTCCAGATGGAATCAGCCTGCGTGTCCATCCATGAGGCCCTGAAGTCGGTCATTGATTACCAGACCCACTTCCGCCTTCGTGAGGCTCAGGGACGCAGTCGTGCAGAGGACCTCAACACCCGTGTTGCGTTCTGGTCCATTGGGGAAGCCATTATCCTTCTGGTGGTCAGCATCAGCCAGGTGGTCCTGCTGAGAAGCTTCTTCTCTGACAAGAAGACCACTACAACACGTATCGGATCATAACAGTCTCTGAGCACTGTGACTTTCTTTATCTGTACCTGGGCTCATGTGCTTAGAGTGGGTTAGAACAGCAGTGCTGATCTGAAATTGGATCATATCAAACTGCCAGGTTGTACAATCTGACATGTCATTAAGATTCAGCACTGCAGTTCTTACAAACTTTATGCAAATGAGTGTTGAGCAAAAAGATTTTATGTGTTTAAGGGGTAAAAGAAACAACCTGAAGAAATGCTGGTTGTCTTGCTTGTAAGAATCCATGTTAGAGGCAGTTCAAGATGGTCATCTAGTTAAAGCAAACCTGAAGTACTAAGTATTTGAAATAATTTCTAAATTTGTTCATATGTTTGTTTTCTTTTCTGCTGCTGTCATCTCATAGTCTCTCTGTTTGATTTGTTCCCCCCCCTCCCCAGGCCAAATTTGCACTGAATATAAGCAAGGTAGTTGAAGCTGTAATTAAATGTATTCATAACGTAGGGGTGCTTCAGGTTACTTTCTGCAGAGCATTTTGGTCTCTTAAAACAGCAAAACTGGCAAGGCAAAGGGTGTTTCCCCACAAATATTGCATTTGGAAAGAATCGGTTACATTTTTCTTTGTTGTTATTAAACCTCACTATTTTGAGTGGGAAAGACTAGATACTGTGTTTGCTTTTGTGAGCACTTGTCTCAGATGATTTATTAGAAGAGAGTTTGCTGTACAGAGTAGCCCCCCTTTCATATAATATTAGCTTGAAAAGAAAGGATTGAATTTAGAGATGACTGTGTTCCCAGTTCCTTTTGAAAAAGACAATTTCTGTATTTTGACTCAATTTGCTCAAAAGCTCATCAAGGTAAAGTAATACTTCAATCTAACCACACTAGGTGAATTTGATTTTGATTTGATTTATTCTTTCTTTCAAGCATGTAAAGACAGTTGATATGTCAACACACATAATTTTACACATATCCAACAAATGCTAATCCAATATCAATTTGCTTATACCTAGTACATGCTTGAATGGAGTAGGAAGAAGTCAGACTTATCCAGTCCTACCCCATGACATCATCTTACCATCATTGGTTTGCAAGCAATAAATGATTCACTTCTACACACACACATATTATACTAAAAAAGAATATAACAGTGTTAACATTCTTACATCACACAAGTGATATACTAAAGAATGGTTACAAAATATACACCACACCCACAATAGTCCATGTAGTTAATCATTGAGCCTGTTCTTGC